TAGTTTAACCTACTCCCAAAACTATTCAGTTATGATTATTCGTTAGGTTTTATAACACATGAATGTTTTTTCTCAAAAAAGCGACGACCCTTTGTAGTACTTAATAAATCACCAAAACGCCATTGATGAAGTTTATTGATCCCAAACTTCAGCGAGCTGAAACAATGTGGATTGTCCTTTTGCTGGTCTCTTACCTCGACATGGTTGGTGCTTTAGGTAGGTGTGCAATAACATGTTATTTAATGTATTGTTTTTAACTGGGCGTGTCCGTACAAATCAAGAACAACTGGTGGAAGATGACACAATCCCAATTTACTCCGACGTGCTTGTTGTTTACATCTTAGTTCATGATCTGTTACTACGGGAATATGGCATCATATTAGCCATACACTGGTCGTAAAATAGCCATAAACTGGTCATCTACGTTGCAAACCTTGAGGTATGTAGATGGATCTTGGGTATCAAAATGGTGGTTAGTTTTACAGCCATACTTCTTGATGAACAGTAATGGATGCAAAATTCATCTGCTATGAATTTAAAGATTATTCGATTGTGATTGGTCAGTCAGAGATTACCCAGTCACAATAACTTTGATTGGAAAAGGGGAAGTTAACATTTATAGAATAGTATCTTTATAGGATAGTAATGAGCGCTATTAAATTTACTGGCAATGAAGTAGCACATTGAAACCACAGAATTTTATATCTCCTAAATGAGTTACAATATGTCTAGTTTTAGAATGAAACATTGCAATACACGCTGATGTGGTAGCAGATTCATACAGTAACGAGTTATATTTGTGGAAATTGTTAACCTCCACCCACTGTCTGTCATCAGAGAACTGTTCGATGACATTGACCGACAGTCAGGGTCAGGTGACCAGTCCCGGCTACCCTGGCAACTACAGCAATGACCTCAACTGCACGTATGTCATCGAGGACATCGATGGACATTTTCAGACTGTTACCATAGAACTCCTGGACTTGGACATAGACATTGTCAGTGGCTGTCTATACGACTGGCTCGTCATCAACGGAGGGCCCAACATTTGTAATGGAACCTTCACGAAAACATGTATGACTATATCCTACGTACTTATGATATTTCCAGGTGTAGGCATGTAGGCATAGCCATTAAGCAGACGCGCAGTATAAAGGGTTTACACATGTTGTCGTGTTTTTGAAGAAAAATGTAGTAACCTTCCTGCACTCCTACTGAATTGTTGTACATGCTTTCACTCACTGCTTTTGCTAAGTCCACACCTCTGATGCGTCTTATATTTCAGATTTGTTCAAGACACAGTTCGTAATCCAGTTTATAACTGACAGAGTAGGCGGTAATAAAAGAGGCTTCTCACTCCACTACTCAACCGGAATGGATTCAAATCGTGGTATGTGACGTTAGTGTAATTGAAATATATGTCATTACGTCATTTTGTTTTACATAAACAACACATTCATCATTACAAGACATAGCATAATTATTGATGAGCATGCATTTTACATCTTATTTAATTGATTACCAAAATAATGAGGAGCAATGTCAGTCTGATAGCATTGATTTGTTACTGACATGTTGGATTCTTTATTCACTAGCACATGAACTTCTTATTATCTATGTTTCAACCATTCTACAAATTTTGAAAGGTAACAGTTGATGTGACAGTTTGTCTTTGTTTTGTGTAAACGGAATAGATTTAAGAATTCAACTTTAGTGTTTAATATATACTTGAACCGAAGACGTTGAGAATGTCACGTACTATAAAAATATTGCGATGTTGCTCCTATGAACTCGTTAAGTTTGTAACTGTCATAGATATTACCTTGCAAGATCAACGTGTAAAATTCGATACTATCTGATCAATGGTCACTTTGGAAAACCGTGTACAATGAAAATGAATAACTGAATGAAACTGAATGAAACCGAATGAATGAATCAGAATGTATGAAGGAAGGAAGGAAGGCTGGCGAAGCAAAATTTATTGCATGATATCGGGAATATTGTCCATACACAGCAGGTAAGAACTTTGACATATAGAGATCATTAACACTGTCAGCTGGGTTCACACCACAGGTATGTCTTTCCGAAATTGGGTATCAATTTGTCACAGCACTTTACTAATACAAGCACTAATAACCTTTACGTTTCATCCGTTGTTTTCGTATTAGACTACGCATACAGAGCTAATATTTCTCGAGAAAAATGGATGCATTAGATTTTTGTGTTTGTTTTGCTGATAAATGACGTCTTTGCTGATTGTTGTCGGAACATTTTTATCGGTAGTTTGCCTTTTACGTCTCATGGGCTCGGTTTCAGCACACAATCGCCGAATTTGGCACTCTTATAAGCTATGTCTTGTAGAATCATTCTGCCTACTATGGCTGCTGTATCTTTACTGCAAGTCCCTGTGTGATTAGTGAGTATCCTGGAAGGTGAGTAACACTGTAAACATGATCTGATATAAAGAAAATCCACTTTGGTGTCCTTTGGTTGCAAATATAACAGTGACAGTATATGTGCCAATATTGGACAAAAGGGCAATAAAGCTCATCTGGCAAATGAACAGCACGTTTTGAATCCGATATTCGTATGCAATTATGTCTCCTGGGGTCCTTAGCGTTTAAATGCACAATTATGCTCCTATATTTTGCCTTCATCATGTGATGCTTATCATTCGACAGAATTAAATACCAAAGTCTAACCTCCTTATGCTTATTTTAGTCACATTATATGTACATACGTAAATATGTATAGTGATGGTAGGTTTGAATCGACTTTGGTATCTTACTGATGATTTAAATAATTTTAATGATTTACAGATAACATACGTGACACATATGTGTAATGTTTAAAGGGAATATGTACCTGGATGTGCGTAACGTCTACATATTACAAAGCAATAGGGAGGACACACAACACAGTTATAAATAATTTTTGAAATTCTTTTACTAGATTCAATCACTGGGAGGTACCATCGAGATGGAAAAAAGAAGGAGGGAACCAAACAACCAATTGTACATCAACTCTACATGAAGAAGTTTATTTCGGGGACAATCATAGCTTTACAATAGCGGCCATACTAATTGGGCAGGATATGTTCAACAATTTCATGAACACAACTCGTTGAAGATCTATACTGAATTACCATTACTTCGAAGAAAAACCTTTGTGCAAAAACTGAAGAAACATTAGGTGATACTAAATGCCGTTCTCTGTTGTGTTACTGCGATCATTCAAGCTTAAATTTGTTTACTGTACTAAACAGAAAAAGAAACTTCATATGTGTTACTTTATGTGTAGTGGCCGTAAAATGTCCGAGTCTCGTGCTGGGATTCGAACCACGGACGTACGGCTTGTCCACATGACTAAAGAGGTTAACCCCGTCAGCAAGCTGACAAGGTAAGGATGTCATCTGTGGGATGACTCCACACTCTGCTACATACTCCCCCGTCAACAGAAGGCACGTTTCAGAGCCGCATAGTAGGGTACTGATCCTTATTTTGCTCAAATTTCATATGAACGTGCTCAGCCCCACGTTGGGCGATAATGTAGAGGCCATAACATTTCCGAGTTCCGTGCTGGGATTTGTACCACGGATCTTTTGATCCGAAGTCGGACGCCTTGTCCTCATGACCAAAGAGGCTTACCCCGTCAGCAAGGTGACAAGGTAAGGATGTCATCTGTGGGATGACTCCACGCCCTGCTACATATGTCCCTAACATACACATATAGAACAAAGTGTGATGCCAGCGAATAAATCTGGTGTTTGATCGTAATAAGCGTACATTAAAACAGGGTTAGGCATTAGCTTCGTTTGGTGCACCCTCCACAGTCAACAGTAGCACGTTGGGTCACTTTTTGATTCCGCAGGGACGAGCCATCTGGTTTGTAGCTTGTATGCCCTCTCTCCCTTTCACAACAGAAAGGTCAACGTTGTCTCATTGCCTAGCGCCCATGAACACACCATTAGGCAACCTGCGCTATTGCTGTACCAACACGGCTTGACCATTCTGGGGTTGACGTCTTAAGGCACGAAGACTTCTTTCAAGAGCTGAGACTGGGACTGAGGTCAGGTGATCTCGATGGCCACTCCATGACGTCAGTACCCACATTTGCAGGACATTTAGCCACCTGTAAGTGAAATTGTGTCCTGCATAGACATTCATTGTGGTTTACCTGTGTCAGAATCGGTCAAACATAAGGACGTCTGGCACGAAGATGTTCTTGGTAGTTACACGGTCCCTAAACAGGTTGACGTTGCAGTCGTAAAACGATCACGCAACTGACGTAGCCGACTGTGATTGTCCTCGCCATGTGACGTCACACATGGCCATTCTGACCTGGGGCAATCAGGTGTCGTAGTTGTTTGATGGACACGTGTCCTCAGGTAGTGAAGTGTCCTTCTATTGCATGCAATGGCACTTGCAACTTCCACGGTAGACTGGCCAGCATGGATCATGCTAATTGGACGTTAAACATTTATAAGACGTGGCAAGATAATTGTTTGTTTCTAAGATTGACAACGCGGTTTTCTAATCACAAGCACATTCTGCACACCTATGGGTGGTTAGGCGCATGAAATTGTGGTCACGTGACACTGCACACGTGCAGGGCTGCGTTTTCACAAAGAGCGTGCTGCATGTACCCCGCGTTGTTCACAACAGTTGAAATGGACGGAGGCGTCTGGTTAGACCTGGCCATTATGGTATTCCCATTAACTACCTTGTACGACCCATTTTCAACATTATTGTTCAGTGTACATTACCACATCATTATTTATGCTCTACCAACTTGTAAGTGCATGCTAATTATTTCAGTGACAGGCGTTCATCGATTGAGCCTTCAAACGGAATATGTCTAAATTACGAAGCCAAAGTGAAAGCAAATCTATAAACAGTACTCTATTATGAACCGGAATGTTGCAATATATTTCATGGTTCAAACTGACTTTTGAAACAGGTTTGTACGATGTATCGTCTTGCAGGAGAGGTGTAGAGAGTTCTCCATCAATCAGTTGGAAACCAAATGTATGTTAGCTAAAACTATCATTTCAACATGATGGAAGCAAGCCATATCATTATGAAAGTGGTAAGTAACAATATGTTTATATTTGTAAGTAAATTATATATTATCTACATAGATAAGATGATATTTTGTACCTGTCTATTAACTGAAGATGCATTCCGTGTTCATAATTACTTTGGTGTTACACGCCGATTTTCAGATTATTAGTTAACCTAGAAATCTGTACTTAATATAATTCGTCGTAAAACGAACAAACGTTACACAATAAACGTTACACAATAAGCAATTGTAGTATAAGGGTTTTCAAATCAATACAATCAAACTACTGTAAAGTAACTCCTTAAAGTGGCATTTAGAAGCTGGCATGATGATGAAGAACAAGTTTTATGAATCGACAACTTTATTGCAGTAGATGCGACGTTTCGGTGTAGATGCTAACCCCGTTATAAAGCAAGTGATACCCAGCATTGTGCACAAGGAGAATATATACATGAAATGATATTTGAGCTTATCCAAATGAACAGGTCATGTAGAGTGTGATGACATTACTGATAGTTGTTGTGATTATAGAGAATGGGCATGAAACCAGATGAACAAAGGGCAGGGAAGGGTTACTGTTCATTGGCCTTGATAAGATGATTAGTCCAAGAGCCTGGGGATGATTTTTGTACCTAGAGAGGCCAAAAGGTTTGAACATATATTCTGACGTAAAATTGCCTCACGAATCCAAAAATAGGAGTCTTACAAATCAAAGATCTGGCTTTAGCCCATTAGGGGGCGTTGAAGCGATGACTCAGCATTTCTTTCAAATGCCATTTCCAAACCACAAATACTCAGTATTTCACCCAAACTGGCTGCAATGTAAAAAAGAAAGATAAATGTGTAATTTCACAAAATAAAATGTTTAACAGAGCAGTATGTAGAGTAATGACATTGTTTTTCTTCGTAGATTTACAATTATTTTGTCATTTTACCACCTGAAGTTCATTGTAATGAAACTATAATATAATATGATACAGTATTTAAGGCTTTTAATTATGTAAAAATGTGTAAGGAATTCAAATATATCAATAAAATGCATATGTCACTCAAGGTTAGTGATTTATCTAAGAAAAGGATGGTAAGGGTAATTCTATAAGAATCGCTTAAGGGGAGATAACTCTGTAAATGACATTCTTAAAAAGCATCACACGCTTCAGTATGGGGCCACATACATTATTTATTTTTATTTGCTGTTCCTTTTCGATGATAACATGTTTCATTTTTGGATTTGAAAAAAATAATTTTTGTACATTCTGTGATATATCGTCAAAAGAAATCTACAAAATCATTCATTTGCTAATTGTAGTCAGGATTTGAACCTCATATGTGATCATCTACCTTTGAAAATATCCTATTTTGTAAGCTGGATGGATGTAATAACCTTGGTCTCTGTTCATTACTGTAAAGTAATCACAATGTCTCATCGGTTGATCTGTTTGTTTGTTGCATTACGCCACACTCAGCAATATTCCAGCTTATGGCAGCGGGATCGGGCGGTCAGGCTCGCGGACTTGGTTGACACATGTCATCGTATCCCAGTTGCGTAGATCGATGCTCATGCTGTTGATCACCGGATTGTCTGGTTTATTTACAGACCGACATGTAGCTGGAATATTGCTGAGTACGGCGTAAAAGTAAACTCACTCACTTAACACCTTCCCGAATATTCCATACAATTCGTGATTAGTCTATACTGTTCTAGAAGACCGAGTCTGGATTCTAAAAGTATATACAAAAAGTAACTTCCACTCATCCGCTTACACCTAATAGTAATTACATTCCCGACTACTAGTCATTGTTGTCACTACTAGTCATACGAAACGCTGTTAACTTTCTATGAATCTTGGACTGCCATATACGAATAGGATAACATGTTGAAAAATACATATCTGTAACACATCTAATCAAACGTTACATTGAAATGGATTTATTCTGTTTCAGGCTTTGGTTCTTTTCGTCGTCGTGTCATGTGCAAGGAAAGGTACGTTGACTCAACGTAAACAGATTTTGAATAGATATGGTTCATATGTAGAGTACATATTTGGTAGAACCTAGAACCCGTGTATTATATCAAATCAGTTTATAAGACAGAAGAGAAAAACATTGACTTTTTGTCAGTAGGTACTTGGGGACATTCAAACGACCAGTTGTTTACTTGTGAGGCGGGTTCAGGATAAATAAAGTTTTGTTTCATATTCTTTCATTACGAATAGTCTCCAAACAAAACCACACGACGTATGTAATTTAAGACATAATTACTGAAATTAACGAGATGTTAAGTGCTCGATGGTGCTCGATAGTGCTCGATGGATAAGACGAAGGAAGGTCTTGGGGTAACATGACAAGAACAGATTTCGGTGACTGGCGCAAACAAACATGAAAGACTACAGGGATATGTAAAAAAAGTCTTGATCAATAACTGGTCTTGTCCTATGATTGTCCCCAAACCTTCTTCGTTATGTCATAGTCCAAATAAATCTCCCAGGGACAATCCGGGTGATCTTGTCAAACCCTACTGGCTAACTCAGCAAATGTCCTTTGACATTGGTGCACATATCTCTGAAAAGTACTTAAATAACTTCTAATTAGCAAAACTTAACACACTGCATTTCTATTAGTGAAGCGTATGAAGCCGATACAAATAATTGTCCGATATCTTTCAATCTTGGCGAAATCTCCGCATCACCAACTAGTAGATTTGCATCAGAAATCACCAAGTCTCCCTATTTAGTAAATATATTCAATAATTAATCAGATTTGGATGACAGGAGGCATAACCATTAATTGCATGTGTACAACATATTGATCTGAAACAACATAACAATATCTAATTACACTGTAATTACAGTGTGTGGTGATAAAAATGTGAAGAAAATGTTTCTGTGTAAGCCTGCAGTTACTTCACTATCAACATAACATAATTAACTATCCATTATAATGTTACTTTTGATCCAATGTTTTTATTTGCGTTTTGCAAGTATTATGATTTTTGTACTGATTTCTGAAACAGTTTATCAAATTAAAGTCAATAGTGTATTGACACTCTCTGTCCTACCTGATATTATTAGTTCCGCGCGAAGTAATTCTTATGCCACTACCTTATCGATGTATGACATGTTGAAACAGACGTCCTGGTTGTTTGAGTACGGAATTGTCTTCAGCCATGCATGGTACATTTGATCCCTTCTTCCCTCGTGTATAGGTTTTCTGTGAGCCCTGGTCCATGACTGTAACACATTCATGTACATAAGTATTGATCACAGCTAATTAGAATGACCACTGATGTGTGACCCCCCCTCCCCTCTCTATCTTTCACACGCACGCACACACACACACACACACGCACACACACACGAGAACGAACTCTGACATGTGTGAAAGTATACATAGAAACACACATTAACGTGTTGTAAAACTCCTTTGTGTTAAGTACTGTTTCACATGCATGCACAATACATTTCATCTTTGTAAATAACATGGTGCCCTGTGTTTATTTTTATCCTTTGGTTATGCTAAAATAATGTCTCCAAAAGTAACATTACGCGAAACGCAAGCATATAATAAAATAAATCGCAATAACTGGAAAAAAGGTAAGTGTGGTTTATTGACTTAAATATACAAGACGAGCCAGTCAAACCGACAATATTATTATTACCTTTTATCTAAATCACTGTTTCTATGTTGCAGGATATACGGTATCATCAGAAAACAACAATGGAGAAGACTTTATTGTGGCTGTGTTCCTTCACCAGAATACATGCAACGCGTCCTTACATTTCACAGGGAAAGCAGGAACAGTTGTACAAGTAGAGAGTCCCGCTCCAGTTCATACATTCACTAACCTTACCATTGGCAGTGAATTATCAACGAGATTTGATCTGAATCCCGAACACTGTTTTGACGTGAAGAACAATTCCATAGCCCGAAAAGGTTTCAGAATAACAGCTACTGATGGTATATCCGTGTCTGCTGTGAATATGCAAGACAGGTGGAGCGGCGAGTCATACCTGGTACTACCACTGAGTCAACTGTCAGTAGAATACGTCGCAGTGTCATGTCCCTCAGCTTTTGAGTATTCCAAACTCATGATAATAGCATCTGATGATGACACCAATATCAACATAACAGTGAGGACATCTGGTAGTTTATGCTCGGGCTCTAACAACAACAGTGGGCAGGATATCAAACTTACTCTCAACATAATGGATGTTTTCGGCCTGTTTTGCAGCGAAGATTTTACTGGCACATACATAAGAAGTTCAAAACCTGTGGCTGTGATTTCTGGTTGCCAGAGAGCCGGTTGCTGAAATGTTGATATCTGTTGCCATGTACGGAAAGAGTTACATACTGTACACATTAGCTCCAAGGTTCAAATTGATGTATCGGGTTGTTGGTGCGCATAGAAATACCAATATTGAAGTGGCAGGCCAATCTAAAGGTACCATTCATGTGGGGGAGTATCTGGACATAGAAGTGTCTGATGCAGCCTGCTTCAATTCCAGTGAGACTGTACTTGTGGTGGCATTTAACAAATATGCTTCGTCCTTTGAATATCTCATGGCCATTGTTCAGTCAACAGATCATTTCATGACTTCATATCTACTGGATACAAAAGAAAACCCTATTGCAGTATGGACGTATGCAAGGATTATTCTTGTCAGTACCGATCCAAGCATCGCGTCCACTGCCTCAGACAAAGGACTGGTTAAAGCAGAATCAGAATCAGCATGCGGATATAATATATGTCAATTTAAGACTAATGGTGTCTCGTTGATAGACTTACAGGGCTCAACGCCATTTGGACTCTTATACATCAGACATGGTCCTTACATTGGAATGGGATATTCTGGTGGCTTTAGAAATGGTAATTACTCTGTGAATTATGACGTATGTTCAACTTGTTAAAGTGTGTTCAACTTGTTAAATGGTTGAATGAGATATTATGGGACTAGTCACCTATAACGACATTCCATGGGGCCATATGGAATGGAATATCCATGCCAGGATCTGAACCCAGGCCTCCAGCTTAACACCATCACTGTTCTTATATATATGCTATTCATATATTCATATACCTTTTGTCATAAAAGTAAAAGTCATAACAATTCGTAACATGTAATCATTTGCAATCTGCTAGCATGCTGGCCTCATCTAAATGCATATCATAATGCACTTTTAAACAAATATTTGCTATTTCTTACACAACAGATCTTGCCCTCGAGAGTACATCAAGCACCAACACACCAATCACTTTTACAGCAGTATCTACAGTTTCTGGACTTTCCAATTCAACTGCTCAATATCCTACACCTACAATATCGTCTACATTTGCGTCTGTTTCGACAACAACATCATCCACTCCCACGCCAGAATCTGCAATAACCTCAACAACGTCGACTACTGCTGTTATTAATTATACAATGTCTTCGTCTCCTACATCATCGACAGCTTCAACCATGGGCTACTCCCACAAGTCCACTCCCGCCAGCACTGACACTGCCTCCACTCCGGATACATCTCCAGCAACGACCACTACTACGTCTTCTACATTCTCAGTCACCACAACTCCAACTTCAGCGGCACCCACAGTTCAGCTGGACCGCAATGGACAACCAATGAGAACAGTGAGAGAGAAATGCACATGTTTCTGTAAACCGAAAAACCGACTTGACGTACTGACATCTGAAGCTGTTTCTCAGCAGAAGGCACATCTCCAACAGAAGTTACAGGTGAAAACAACCAATCCTACCAGCTCTATCAGCAAGAAGACCAGCGCACCAGACAGAAGGACATCATCAACGAGTATCGGCTACCTTGCAATTTCTTGTGTCATGTTACCATTCGTTCTTTGTATGTTTGCAGATATGATGCACATGATTGCTGCCATCATTAACATGTGTGGCCAGAAGAAAGCTTAAATGGAGACTCTAACAAATACATATGTTCGATTTACACGTGTTACCCTGTACGAAGCTCAAGCTGGATCAAGTTCAGATTTTCTTACTGACTATAAAACAGAAACCAGTGGTCACATTTCAGTCAAATGTTCTGTGTTCATGAAGACTAAGTCTCAGACTCACCTGTAATTTCAGCCTCATAGCTTTTAAGAGGTTGGAGGATCAAATTTAACATAATTAATGTAAGAAAACATAATTAATTCCTCTACAGACTGTTTCGTCAACGATTCAGCATGGAACACATTGTTTCAGCTTCGTATGTTTTACTTTGCCTCTGTTTGGTGCCTGTTAAAAGTAACATGGTTAATCGGTAACCGTTATATCTGATTTTCAGCACATGCCACACTCTCAGTCGACAGTGAATATACTGTTGGAAGCGCCTCACAATCATACGAATGTGGCATCGTCCTTTTTGTCACTCTGACGGTGAACCGTGGGTAGGGAGCCGGGAGGGTGAGACACACACTATACTCGTACCACAATGGCTGCTCAAAAACCCAAAATTCAAAATCATACAGATGATACAATTGATAATGGAGATATAATAACCAATCTGTATCATAGTGAAACCGAACCTGCCCCAAGTGAGAAAACCTTGGTTTCTTGTTCTCCAATATTAACAGAGAAAGAAATGCAAGGTATTGCTGACGTGTTAAAAAAGGTGCAGGTGCTGTTCTAATAAGATATGTAATTAGATGATGATGTTATTTCTTGATGATTTCAACATATCATTCCAAGGTTATTTTATGACTATAATTGAGGGACAGTTACAACTTTGTCCGAGTCAAAGACATAAATGGTCTCCAGAAAACGAAGTTCCAGACTTGACAAACGCCGAAAGTAGAAGAGCGTGTAATTGTATTTAAAGCAATCCCAGAACAACTTTGAATCTGATTTTTATCACTGTAATATACAGCAGCACACTGAAACGTTTCTCTGTAAATATCCAGTTTCACATCAATCATGTTCTCTGCACATCATGAAAAACGCTTGTACGAAACAGGCGTGTTGACGAAATTCATAAAATGTTGTGAATGGAATAAGCATTTTTTTTGTCAATCCATTTATGTTTAATAATACATCTTGGTTCTCAAAAATAATATCTCCCCAATATGTAATATCCCCTTCGTTTTAGTGGTATATTTTCTGATTGTTATCATGTTTACAGGAAATATATAATCGAGAACTGGATCATCTGTTCGCAATTGAAATTTTAAGGTATCACTCCCACTCTGGTCTATCTATTAATTATAGACATTCAATTTTATCAACATGTGAGGATCCAACCTTTTGTATCCCTTGGAATACTCCTATTACTGTCAAGCACATTTGGCTTGAAAGCGCTGATTCGCATTTACCAGACAAAATGCAATGTGTTATAACAATGTTCATACCATGTGTTACCCGTGAAGGTCCGGGGTTAGAATATTGATCTTCAGTAACCCATGCTTAATGCTCTATGCATTAAGTTCATGGTTATACATGCATCGACCGACGGAATGTATTTCTTCAATTTACACATGAACACGTTTCGTACAGAATTAAATCGAGCTCACCTGGCTGGGCGTCACCCATTTGCCACAAGCAGGCAAATGTAAGCACAACCGCCATGATAACACTTGTCTTGGTCCTCATAGTGACTGTTCTTTAGGCCTTTCTGTAATGAATGGAAAACAACAACATATGTTCAATGTTGCTTTTTAAAAAGAAATACAACATTGTCTCGACCTCCTTCGTAACAGATAGTCAGTTTGAGTTACAACAATTTCCATGAGCCTGTCCCAAAAATGCTTCACTTCGTTTAACGTCTTACTTGAAAAACGCAATACCGCTCCTGAAAAGAAGTCGATGGGAGATACAGGGTTCTAATGGCTGGTGAAATGAGATAGTGCCGAAATAGATTATTTAAGATTTCAGGGGTTAAATTCGACATGCAAGAATTCGTGGAGGTATGCTTCCAACCATTGGACCAATTTCATGTTATGAATACATGATGCCATTTAAAAAAAATGATCTAATGTAACACAGGGTATATTTGTAATTGCAATGACTTAATAAAGTATACCACCCGTGGGTTAGAAATGACATTTCAAAACCCATGCTCGTTGTAAGAGGCGACTAACGGGATCGGGTGGTCAGGCTCGCTGACGTGGTTGACATATGCCATCGGTTCCCAATTGCACAGATCGATGCTCAAGCTGTTGATCACTGGATTGTCTGGTCCAGACTCGATTATGTACAGACCGCCATATAGCTGGAATATTGCATTTTTTTACCCGGGAAGTCAGTTTTTACAGTTTTATAATATTTTAGACGGAGATTTTAGTCATTTCAAAGTGACTTGTATTGTGTTGGTATTGAAATGTCAGTAGGATGATTAATATCATGTACACGGGAAGGTAATCCACTCAGTATTGTTCCTTATTAGAGACTGAATTAAATGCGTTAATGATCGTGACATACATATGTCACTGTATAAGTTCACAGTAGTGGTTTTGTTTAACCTTTGTTTTGTGAGACAGACATACTCTTTGTAAATGCGGGTGTTGTATGTTGTCCCTCACTTTCGTCTAGCTTCCACAATCACATTATACACGATATTATAATGTATAAGGAACGTTTCTACAGCTTCCTTGTCAACGGCTTATAATTTATAGCTACGTGACAGCAGTTTGTCGTTTTGAATAAACTAATATCATACTAACAAATAACACAACTCCATGTTTTAACGCAGGATCTGTGATGTGGCTTCGTGTTTGGTTGGCATTACTGCTCTGGCACACATTTGTAGAAGTACCAAGTGTACCAGTCATTAATGTCACCTTGTGTTTTATTTTCAGAACGTTGGTGATAAAGGACAAAGAAATATCAAAATGGCTGAAAAACAGTCACGTTTTTTATGTTATTGATTACATCACCCAGTTAGAACGCCATTCCATAAGCAAAGCATGCTTATATAGGAAAACCTAGTTTTCAGAAATATTACATGTATTTCAATGGTATATCACAGGTATTTCACATGGTATATTGTTCTATTTGCTTTTATTTGCACGTAATGCCCGGCGTAGCACGTGCATATTTGAAATCAATGTATGATGCGCCCGAATGGCTTCAATAATCATACAAACATAATTATTAAATAAATATCAATGGGTGTTAAAAATGATAGGTGTTGTGATATTTTTTCCATTTATATATATTGTTTTATGTATACAAATAGAACATACACATATTTGAACCCATCAAGTGATATTTAATGTCTTATTCATCGGAGTCACTTCTCGCGGGACCCGTGAAGATCCGGGGTAGAATAGGTCTTCAGCAACCCATGCTTGCCACAAAAGGCTACTATGCTTATCGTAAGAAGCGACTAACGGGATCGGGTGGTCAGGCTCGCTGACTTGGTTGACACATGTCATCGATTCCCAATTGCGCAGATCGATGTTTAGTGCCGTTGATCACTGGATTGTCTGGTCCAAACTCGATAATTTACAGCCTGCCGCCATATAGCTGGGATATTGCTGAGTGCGGCGTAAAATTAAACATACTCACTTACTCACTTCTCGTGGCGAGTGCTGGGTAACGCTAATAGCTCACATCCCGTGCGTACTCGGTGTAGACTTGGTCATCGGCATCCCACTGCTTATCGTAAGAGGCGAATAAATTGCGCAACTTGTTTGCTGTAGGATGGGCCTCTGTGTCGGAGGAGGTCGGGAACCTGGTGGTTGAGA